ACGAGAGTTTTTCATCCTTGGCAGCCGCTCCTTGCCCAGCCCCACGGACACACCCATCCTCGTCCTCCTTCCTCATCCTCGGGGGCAGGAAAGGGAGCTCGGAAACGGGGCTTTGACGTGTCAGTATTTGGGCAGGAGCCGCTGGGTTGGACAATTACAGCGGTGAAGAAACGCAGGGGATGCACAGAATTGTGATAATTGAAGCATCCTTTTTTTTTTTAATTTATTTTTTAAATTTTTTTGGGGGGTAGGGAGGTAGTTCCCTTCCAATATCCAACGGTAAAGAGTTTAAAAAGCTGTTTAAAAGAGAGATGGAGGTTCCTGCTGAACCCCTGTCAGGGGCCACGAGCAACATGACGCATTTTTCTTCTGGCTGAACGCTCTGATTTATGTTGTGTGCGCCCAGCCCTCCTGTGAAGGGATGGGGAAAATCACATTCTGCCCTTATTTGCCGTGGCATAAACCTGGAATTACCAGCTAGGACTTAAAGCTTGAAGAAGGAGGATAATGGATGTGTGGCTGCCCTGGTTTCGCTGCATCCACAGGGTGAATAACACGGATTTAGTGGCAGGGCCTCACGCAGACTGCCTGTGCTTTTGTCTGCAAGGTGGTGGAGATGAGCAGGAGGATTCACCCTCATCTCAGACCCTCCAAATCCTCAGCACCAGCCCTGCTTATTAGCAGAAGCATCATTAAAATGCCCCAGGCTGCATCTTTGTGGCCACTATACATGTATATTTTTCCTTCTTCCTCCCTGACTGATGCCCAGTGCGTTGGGACTCGGGCTGGGGGTGACATCCAAGGCCAAACTCGCTCCCTGTGGTGGCACAGGGAGCCTGCTCTGGAGGTGGCATCAGCACTGCAGTGCTTCTGGAGGTGATAAACATGTAGGACACTTGGCTGGCCTGGAAAGACCAGGTTTTTCACACCCCACCTCAATTCATCCAGGCTCGTTGGCATTGGCAGCAGCTCCTAAATTTAAATCTTGGGGTTTTCTTTGCTTTTGGAGTCGGTGGCGTTGCCCAGGGAGAGTCTCCCGTTGCAGCAGGAGGAGGAAGGAGGCTGAAAAAAAAGAGGGAGAAGGACTTGCCATCTCATAGATGTTCAGCAGTTGTGTAAAAAGATGGATGTCATGGTATAAAACAGGAGCTGATGACATTCCTGTGGCCTTTTTGGTGTTAAAAGGGCCGTGTCAGCCTGTGTCAGTTCAGAATTGGGTGCTCCAACTCTTCAGCTTTTTGGGAAAACGCCTGATTCTTCCTTCTGTTTGACCAGTGGAGCTGCTCCTTGAAATAAGGGCCCTGAGCACCACTGTCACCGCATTATACATATTTTCTGTAAGTTCAGGGCACCTCTGAGTTAAATTCCTGCTCCCCACCCCTTGTTAAGGTCAGCTTTTGGTTCCCTGAGCCCTTGGCTGTGCTGGGATCGCTTTGTTCTCTCCCAAAGGCATTTTTTTGGGAGGAGGAAAAAGAATCACAGTAAGTACAAGTGCAGATTCGGGGGCCAAGGTGTGGTTTAAACCAAACGTGTGTGTGCTTTGCCTTAAATATTCATCTGCTTCAAAAATGCCTCTGTGATGTGGGGAACGGAGGAGCCAGGGGGGTGCAGCAGCCACTTTTAACTCTCCTCCCACCCAGAGCTCCGCGGGGTGTTTCGCTCTTCTTTGTGGCTGCTGCAAAAAAACAAACAAACAAACAGAAAAGATACATTTGTTTTTGCCCTAAAATCCGGCAGAGGCGAGATGTACCCTGTGCTGTGATAAAATCACGTTGCCTGATAGCTGCCTTGTTGTAACAACCTCCCTGCTCCTGCCAAAGGGCCTTCTGATTTGAGGAGATCTTAATGAGCATTGTGTAAATGCTTCTCCCAAACTCCTGGTGCTGCTCCCTGCTCGCTCCCATCTGGTCATACAGTGGAGCTCGGGAGGATCCACTGCAGGGAGACATCACTAAATTGGACCAGAGGAGGTTGTTTGTGTTGTGTAACCCCTGGCAACAGACTTTTGGGCCATTTCCCTGACAGCAGTTGACTCAGCGTTGAGCCAAGTAGTGACTCCACTGTGTGGGTGCAGATAGGAAATTGTGCCTCAAAAAATAGAGCTGTGGCTCTTCCACACCCCTGTGAGGGTTATTTAATGCTGCTGCTGCTGCACGTGGTGCTGCCAAGCTGCAGGTAGGAGTGGAGCTGCCAATAAACCCCTCCTGATATTTTTTGATCACGGGTGTGATGAAAGGACTCATCGCAGTGAGATATTTTATCTTTGCAGTTGAAAGTGCAGCAGTTGACTGGTGGTTTTGACGTGCTCTGGTGAATAATGCAGAGCTTGATGCCTTCCCTCCCCTTTTATCTCTGGGGTGACACTGCAGACTGTCAGCCTTCCCTCTGAATGATTGTGTCTCCTTCTGTTGCAGAGTGATCGTCTCTTGATCAAAGGTGGTAAAATAGTTAATGACGACCAGTCTTTTTATGCAGACATTTACATGGAGGATGGGTTGATAAAGTAAGTGAGTCTTGATGTTCTGCTGGGGTTGGGGATGCACAGAAATGCACTGCAGAGGGCAAGCAATGGCTTAGTCTCACTGAGCTCTGTTAAACTGCAGTGGGAAAAAAAAAAAAAAAAGAATATTTCACGTATATCCTGGTGTTTAATGAAGGGACTTTAAAAACAAGGTGTTGAATTAAATAAACAACTGGGCCCAAACCCCACTGGCTCAAAGGAGGTACTTACATGTGCTTAATTTTAGCCATGTGAGCAGCCCCATGCTGAGATGACACATGTGTTTGAAGTTATCCGTGCTGTAATGTTTTACTGAGTTATGACTTCAGATATTTTGAATCCAGAGTTCAGTGTCCTAACACAGTTAATTCTGTTTCAGGATGGGAGGCTGGACTTGGGTGACCTCTTGCAGTGCTGACCTCTCTGGTTCTGCGATGCAAAGATCAATCCAGCCCCCCTCAAAGCTCAAACCCAGCCCGTGGCTGGAGAGGTTCAGAACCTCTTTTGGTGTTTTCAGTCCTGGAAACATGCCTTTCTGGCACGTTAAATACATTACAGATTTCTTTGGAAAATTACTCCTAGGAAAAGAAAAAATAAAAAAAGGACAAGCCAGAGGTTACAAACAAGGAATTTTCCTGTTCTGCATAAACAGGCAGCACATGTGCTTTGTTAATCAAGGTTAAAAGTTAAAGGAGCCAGCCAGGGACAGCTCATTAATTGCAGGGTGTCATTAATCCACTGCTGCACTTGTGAAAGGATGGCTGGGAGGGGCTGGGCTGGAGGCACCTCCGAGGGTCTCCCCAGGAATTTGGAATCAGGGGCTGAGCTGCCACTTGGCCACCCCAGTCCAGCCCCAGCAAAGCTGGTTTGGGGGCACTGATAATCCAGGACTTGCACAGCCCCTTCCCCAGCTGCCAGAGGGGCTCCTTTTCCTT